GACACGGCCCCGCACAGGCGAGGTGACACGGCCCGCCCAACACAGGCGAGGTGACACGGCCCGCCCCACACAGGCGAGGTGACACGGCCCCGCACAGGCGAGGTGACACGGCCCCGCACAGGCGAGGTGACACGGCCCGCCCAACACAGGCGAGGTGACACGGCCCGCCCGGCACAGGCGAGGTGACACGGCCGGCCCGGCACAGGCGAGGTGACACGGCCCGCCCCGGCACAGGCGAGGTGACACGGCCAGCCCGGCACAGGCGAGGTGACACTGCCCTGCACAGGCGAGGTGACACAGCCAGCCCCGCACAGGCGAGGTGACACGGCCGGCCCGGCACAGGCGAGGTGACACTGCCCTGCACAGGCGAGGTGACACGGCCAGCCCCGCACAGGCGAGGTGACACGGCCCGCCCGGCACAGGTGAGGTGACACGGCCGGCCCCGCACAGGCGAGGTGACACGGCCGGCTCTGCACAGGCTGGTCCTGCTGCCTGGGCCGAGGGCCCTGCTTTAGCTCTGCCAGTCCGGCGCCCGCGCCCCACCGAACCCAGGGGCAGGTGCGGTGGAGGCACGTCCAGGACACTGTCGAAGCCGCCCACACCTCCTCCTGGAGGCGCTGTCACTCCCAGCTTCTGCTTTTGTTGTTAACAGACACCCCCAACCCCCAACATTTAGGGCAGACCCTGCCCTCTGCCCAGAAGGCTGTCATGGCGCCCAGCTCACTGAGGATGAGCCAAAAGCTGTCCGCCACCCGCAAACCCCTCCTGCACCTGCCTCGCTTCCCTGACCTCATCTCCTACCCTCCCCGACTCCCGTGCGACTACCTGGCTTTCTTGCTGCTTCTAGAACTTTCCAGTCACGCTCCCCTTCCTGGCTTGCTCTGGCAGCGTCATTGTCTGGAGCGCTTTTTCTCGAGACCTCTTCGTGGCCGCCCCCCCAGTCCTTCGGGTTTTCAAGTGGCCAGTCCTCAATTAAACTTCCCCAGGCCCCTTTCGTGCAGCAGGAAACCCTGGGCTCCATGCCCACCAGCCCATCTCTGCTTTCCTCTCCTTGGCAGCATTTATCAGCCCTACATTTGCAGCTCTGTTAAGTTGTGTTACACATTTATGCATCATGGGCCCATTGACTGTGTGTGTATTTGTGTATCATAAACACATTTATTTATTCATTAGAGCTGGGGGGTCTCTGTGGCCCGGGCTGCAGTGCAGTGGCTCAATCATATTAACTTGGGGCAAAAGTAATTGCAGTTTTTGCTTATTTCCAGCCAACCTGAGAGCTCACTGCATCCCAGAGCTCCTGGGCTCCAGCCTCGAGCTCCTGCCTCAGCCTCTCGAATATCTGGGACCGCAGGCTCAGGCTGCCACACCTGGCAGTCGTGTGTGTATAGTGCACGCAGTTGTGCTGTTGCACTGTGTCACATGCACGTGTGTTGTGCATTTATGTGTCATATACGTATTTACCGTATTATACTACGTATCATGTAGGTGTTTGTATTCTTACCTAGAATGTCAGCTCTCGGAGGACAGGGATTTTTGTGTTTTGTGAAATGAAGGAATGGATTTAGAAAGTGGATTTTAGAGGGGGATTTCCGCCGGGAAGTGATGGGGCTGAATCCAGAGTCTCCCTCACCCCCACGCACACACACACTGAGGTCTCAGTGGCCCAGCAGGGTTGAGCAGAGAAGACTCCAGGACCCAAGGACTGTCCACTGCTGGCCCTGCCCATCAAGGCCAAGCCTTGTCACAGAGGCTTCTGCAGTCAGGCAGCCCGAGACTCTCTTTCCTCACTGGGGAGCCAGGGCCATCATCCTGCCTTGTGAAAGTGGGATGCTGGAAAGACTGTGAGCACCTACCGGCACCGGGCCTGGCCAGGTGTAACAGAAACCAACGGCAATGAATCCACAGGAGAACATGTCACCAGGGCGTGGGGGCTGCTCCCTACCGTGTGCTCACACCTCCCACCCAGCACCAAGCTTCTGCCCTGTCTCTGCCCTGGCCTCCCTTCCCAAAGTCCTCAGACACTGGACACCTCTGGGCCTAGGCCACAGCCTCAGGGATGGTCTCATTCTTAACAGAGAGGGACGGTGACCTGCCTACCTTCAGTCTACAGTGGCACAGTTCTGGAGGCTGCTGGGCCCTTCTGCCAGGTAGGGCTCAGGCAGTGAAGGGTCATTCCGCCAGCTCTGGTAGGTGCTTAGTTAATTGGAGTTCTCACCGTCGTTACTGTGGCTTGGTGGGAGTGGGGGTCTTCAAGGGCAACGGCTGGAGGGTCCCAGGAGAGGAAGGTGGGTGGAGTAGTGGTGGGGCTGGGGGAGGAGGGGTCCCCAGAGTGTGGAGAGGGGGGCAGGGTGCCGTGTCTGGGCCTCCCACATGCCTGTCCAGGGCCTCTGGGCTCGAAGATTTCCCAGAGACGAGAGCAGGGTCCTGCAGTTCTCTCCACAGACGCTCAGACTAGGGTCTTCCACCATGCTCCAGCACCTGGGCCTCAGAAGATTGAGCTGAGATCCTTGGGAGGTTCTGGGTGGCCGTCCAGTGCTGGGTGTGCGATGACCAGGTCGGGCTTTGCTCTCTTCACGGCCCGAAGCTCCTGTAGGGACTGCTCGCTCAGCTCCACAGAGGCCAGACTGCAGCCACACACACAGAGCAGAAGCGGGGTCAGCGGTGGGAACGCGGCAGTGCTGTGGGAGCAGGTGGGCTGCGGGCAGTGGCATGGCTGTCGGCTTAGGCTGTGCTACAGGCGCTCAGTGACAGGCAGTGGTTGATTGGGAGGTTTGCCAGAGGCTGGGGGAGGGGCAGAGGCAGGGCCTTGGGGGTGGCAAAAGAGTATTGGGGTCACTGGCCCAGGCTGTGGGCCAGATGAACAGATGAACGTGTGGTCAGGTAAAGTGGTCGAGGCCCAGCGCTGTGGCCAGGACTCCAGATGGCGGGCCTGTCAGGGCCGGGTTCCCAGGTTGGTGTTTGAGCTCCGTCACTTGGGAGGCCCTGGGAGCCCCTCTTCTGGGTCCAGGCAAAGCCTCCAGGCACCCACCCCCACCCTGGGTTGACAGGCTGTGTCCCCAGCACCCTTCCCACCCCTGCCTCCACCTGAGGGTCTGCAGGCTGCATCCCGGGAGCTGTAGGACTGCACACAGGTAGGTCACGATGGGGGCGGGCAGCTGGCAGCCACTGAGATCTAGGGTGGTCAGGGTAGGGCTCTCTCGAAGCATGGGCACCAGGTACTGCAGCCCTCGCTGGGGGCCAGACAGCTGCACCCTGCGGGAGGGCGGACCTCAGGAGCTGCAGGGTGGTGGGGGTATCCCTTAGCCCTCCCAGGCCAGGCCTCACCTGAATGTCTGCACCTGGCACTGGCGCCAGGCTAGGCCCTCACTCAGCATACGCAGGCCGGCCTCACTGAGCCTGTTGTGGAGGAGGCTCAACTCCATCAGCGTGGGGGCCGCCCTCAGGGCCTCGGAGAGGTCTCGGCAGACTGCATCAGGGAGTTTGCAGTGGGACAGCCTGTGGCCAAGAAGCACTAGATTTACCTGCAGGCGCCTCCGCGGCCACTCCACCTCCAACTGCACAGACTGCCCAAGGCTCAGCTGAGAGATGCCCACGCCCCTCCCTGGACGCTGCCGAGCCTGCCCTGCCCTTTCTAACCACGAACCCTTGGAGAGCTGTGTCCACTTCTCCCTGTGACACTCTCTCTTTTTTTTTTTTTTTGAGATGGAGTCTTACTCTGTCACTCAGGCTGGAGCACAGTGGCACGATCTCGGCTCACTGAAACCTCCACCTCCCGGGTTCAAGCAGTTCTCTGCCTCAGCCTCCAAAGTAGCTGGGATTACAGGCACCCACCACCCCGCCCGTCTAATGTTTGTATTTTTAGTAGAGATGGGGGTTTCACCGTCTTGGCCAGGCTGGTCTTGAACTCCTGAACTTGTGATCCACCCACCTCAGCCTCCCAAAGTGCTGGGATTACAGGCGTGAGCCACCGTGCCCGGCCCCTATGAGACTGCACGAGCTGTTCAGTGAGCTGAGACAGACACGTTTCACCAGGTTTGCCACACAGTCGTCTGCCAGGTTGGGCTATGCCAACTCAGTGACTTAGCCAGTCCCTAGTGGTTGGATAGTTGTGCTGTTTCTACTTTTTTTCACCATTATGAATAATGGTGTGCTGAGCATCTTGGTTTACCAGCAGAGTTGCTGGGCCAAATGTGGTCACCTTTTTGGCTCTCCTGTTTATCTCCAGATTGCCATGTCCCCCACCCCCACACCAAGCTCCTTTGCTGAGCCTCGGTGAACGTCTGAGGTCCCTGTTTCACCAGGCTCTGTCAGGGCTAGGTCCTGTATTTTCTCCTCCTTTCTGCTCACCTGGTGGCAACTGAGAGTGACTGGAAAGTTACTGCCGTGTAAGAGCTGTCTCACCCCAGCTCTGTGGCTCTACTGACCCCCTTCACAGGGGAGGAGACGGAAGCCTAGACAGACGGACTTGCCACGGGGCACACAGAAGCAGGCTAGGGTTTGCAGACGGCCTGACCCAGGAGCCTGAGCCCCAACACCTTCCACTGCTTCTAAGAACCCAGTTGTTTCCAGTGGCAGCTTCCTTCGGAAGGAAAATACACTCTTGCCTTCTTTAATCCCTCCCTCAGCGCGCTTAGCTGCTTTCCACTCACACGGGGACCAGCCTTTTCCTACAGCCTGTAACCTGGTAATGACGGCCCAGACCCCGTCCCCTCCTCCCTCCGCTCTGCGTGGGGAAAGCCTGCTGGCCCCAGCACCAGCACGAGAGGCCCCCAGCTCTGCCTGACCCCTCAGCCTTCTTTCCTAGGCCACACTTCTGTCTGCCCAGGGCATCCTGCTCTCCGCCCCTCCATAGGAAGGGTTGGGGGCAAGGCCACTCACGTGAGGCTGCTCAGACCGCACAGGGGGTCAGTCATCGCCTGAAACAGTGGATGGAGAAGGGAGGGTGGCAGTTGTTTTGCAGAGGCTCGAGAACTGCTGGGGGAGAGAGGAAGCTGAAGCCCACCCTGCCCCTCACAGCCTCCCGGAAAGGACCCCTTCCCTATCTCCAGTCCTGCAGTCTCAGAGCTGCCCCTCCTCCTCACTTCCAAGCTGACCAACCCCCTTCTCCCTCCCCTTAGCAATCCCAGAGTGAAACCACTCAACTGTGGCCCTCGTGCCATCCCAGTGGGAGGGTGTCACCCACATCCCCCACGTGGGTGTTTGGGTCCCCAGGCCCAGTCCCTGCCAACATCATGACATTCATTCTCTCAACAGATGCCAAGCACCTGGGCAGGAGCTGAATTGGAGCTAAATTCAAAGGAACTCTGGCAAAAGCCTTGCCCTGGAGGAGCTGAGGGTCTGGTGGAGGCCTGGGGCAGATGTCATGGCAGGGTGGTCAACAGGGCACTTCTGGAGCCAGTTGGGTCCCCAGCCAGCTGGGGGAGCCAAGGCAGACTTGTAGGACAGGCAGCAAACAGAATATTCTAGGTGGAGAGAATGGCAAGGCAGAGGCTCAGGGCACAGTGGGCATTCCAGAACTCATTGTCAGAAAGTATAATGGGAAGAAGGGCTGGGCCAGAGCTGCAGGGCCATACTAGGAAGTGTCCATAGGCTGTGGATGGCTGAGGGTGGGCATGGTGGGGACAACCTGGGGAGGAAGAGAGGCACTCGGTGGTTGCCTTGCAAGGGGGTGCTCCCAAACCTGCCCATCTGGGGAGCCAGGGTCTGGTCTGGACATGCTCCCCATGCCAGATGGACACAGGTGCATGGGGTATGCACACACACACACAC